ATTTTAATGAAATAATATGAAGAGCTTTAAAAACACTTTGCACACCAGTATAGAACATCTGTATTAGTTAGACACGCAGACATCAAGAATCACCATATGAATCTCAACAATGGTGACGATCATCAGACAGATTCATGCTGCAGTGCATTCTGGGTGCATCAATCATAACTCATCCATGGCTCCCAGCATGCATTGCGACATGAATAAATACACACAATTGTGCCAGTCAAAGAGAAAATGTTCAATCATCTTCTGCTGAGATCTTGAGAGATTTAATGTCTTCTTTTATTTCAGTTGATTTTATCTAAGTCTGTGGCTGAAGTCAGTTGTAATTCTTGTTTCTCTTTTCTTCAGTGATTCTGCTTGTTAACAGCAGCTGTTCATCACTAATGATCAATCAGAACTTAATTAATCACATAATTATCTCATTAAGTTTAACACTGCTTCAGTGTTACTTTAACACTCTTTTAGAGTGGGACCATATATGCTCCATGCAGTGTTAATTTAACACTCGGGAATTTACTGTGTACATACACATTACATAAATGTTATCTATATATCTAAATAAAAGACTAGTATCAAAATAACTAGTATCTAACTACTTGAGTAGTTTTTTTTGTCTGAAACTTTTTTACTCTTACTCAAGTAACTATTCAGACTATTACTTTTACTTGAGTAAATATTTATAAAAGTAGTTTTACTTTTTCTTGAGTACAGATTTTGGGTACTCTACCCACCTCTGGTCCACGCTCAAAAGTGTTAAAATTAACACTGAAGCAGTGTAAAGTTAATGAGATAATTAAGTGATTAATTCAATGATGATTGATCACTATTGAAGACACCTGATGTTAACAAGCATAATCACTGAATGTTGTGAACTGAAACACTGATCTTGTTTAGAACCTAATATCTGTATTAACCTTACTGATTACAGCAGCCTTGTGATTCTACAGGACAGGATCAATATAATCAGAGGCATTTCTAAGAGATATTTTAATAAGCTCATGGTGATTATGTTGTCAAAACATAACCAGCATCTGCAGATATGTTCCTTGTGTTTTCTTTGCCATAACAAACGTGTCTTATAAACACACAGTTAAAGCAATCAAAAATTAAAATAAATAAATAAATACACATTTAAAGGGGTCCTATTATGCTTTTTCACTTTTTCAACTTTAGTTAGTCTGTAATGTTGCTGTTTGAGCATTAAAAAGATCTGCAAACTTACAAAGCTCAAAGTCCACTTCAAAAGGAGATATTTTATTTAACAGAAATCACTTTTCAAAAACTACAACGAAC